AGGATTTTCAAGGCTGTAAATCTTTACAGAAGCAGACTGCTACATCTTTCTCCCAAGGAGTGGATAGTGGGTTTGAACCACTGACCTTTCGGTTACTAGCTGAGCGCTTAACCGCTGAGCCTCGAGGGCTCCTTGCTCAACAAATGGAAAAAGAAAAATTACCTGTCTTTAATTATCTCATCTCTGGATAGTGATTATTTTTTGCCTTGCTATATGTTCTTTAGGCCTTTTCTATCCTTGTTTGTTTGTTTTAATGAAATAATAGTATTCAGAATTATTTAAAATCTGCTTTTTCCCCTATATTGTGAACATTTGTGCATGTTGGTAAATATTCTTCGTCATCATTAATGGTTGTATAATATTCCATTCTATCACCTATCACCCGTCTGTCAGTTTGTTTTACTGGTTTGCATGTTGCTATGATGCTGGAAGTTATACCACTGGTATTTCAAATACCAGGGTCATCCATGGTGGACGGGTTCCGGCGGAGCTTCTAGACTAAGACAGAGTAGGAAGAAAAGCATGGCAATCTATTTCCAAAAGTTAGCCAATGAAAACCTTATGGATGACAACCAAATAGTGCCCGGTACAGTGCTGGAAAGGAGCACCCCCAGGCTGGAAGGCACTCAAAATACACACTGGCCACAATGAACCTGAGCATACCAATGATGGTGAAAGTGGTACAGGATGAGGCAATGTTTCGTTCTGTTGTACATGGGATTGCCATGAGTAGGAGCCGACTTGACAGCAACTAACAACAACAAATATTCCATTTTTCCATATGATGAAAACTGAGATTGTGTCCAATTTTCTCAATTACAAACGTTGCTGCAGTGCATATACTTTTAGCAAAGTCTCCACACATCCTTATTTATTATGTAAAACTAACTTTGCTGAAAAGATGAAATTATGTAATTCTTAAATTTCTCTCATTCTGGAGGTATCTTTTATTACTACTGCTAATAACTACTATTCATTGAATGCCTATTATATTATCAACCAAAAAATAGCTCCTTCTATGCATTATTTCTAATATTTACAAATATCTGAATAGTAGGTGTAAAACATTCTTGGAATCCCAAGGTAATAAAGCAAAAGATCATTAGGGAAGACAAACAAAATAAAACAAAACCAGGAAACCAACAAACAAATTGTCCAGTAATTTTGTTGGATCAGATTCCAGAAAAGCAGTAAAATTTTCTTCCCAAGTTGATAACACAGGCTCAGTGTTCACAGTATTACATGTTGTTACTGATCCCACATCAGCTCATTTACTTTAAGGTCTATTGAACTTGGCATTACTGGAAATTATGTGGAGTAATAAAATCCATTCATCACTGAGACTTAATTATTTTACAGTTCAAAAGATACTGGATTTCCTCTTCAGAGAAACACCAGAAACATGTCTTACACAATATCTGGAAACTTAACTCAGAGTCATATGCTTCAATGTACACAAAAAGAAAAGGATGTGCTAAAGAATTATTGAAATGCCTGAGTTATGACATTTAAATTACAATCTTTTCCTTCCTGTTTCACAGAACGCAGGTGAAACACTCTATGTTATAAACTGCCAAGAACAGTGTTATGTAGGTGGAGAAAGATAGGATGGCTGGGAGTTTAGTCTCAAAAACACACTATCTGGCTTTAACAGCACTTTTTAAATGGGCAACAGCAGGTTAAAATGAAATTTCTTGGCAATTTTTAAATTTTCTTCTTAAAAGCATATATATTCATGATATAAGTGTTTTTTCTGGCTGCTATTATTCCTCATCAGAGATTCTATGATTTGGCATGGTTTGGCAAACTTTTCCTGTAAAGATTTTGCAGGCCATGCCATCTCTGTCCCCACTCAGCTCTTCCACTGCAGTATGAAAGCAGCCACAGACAACACACACGTGAATGAGCATGGCTGTATTCCAATACAACTTTATTTACAGATATTGAAATATGAATTTCATATAACTTTCATGTGTCATGAAATGTTATACTTTCTTTTTTTTAACCACTTAAAAATATAAAAACCATTCTTCGCTTGTGGGTCATACAAAGAGGCAGTGGGCCAGATTTCACCCATAGTCGTATAACTCCTGTTCTTGTTCTGTGTCATATAACTATCTGAGGAGGAGTACTTTCATAAATTGAATAATGCATTTGCTCTTTCTTCCAGCTAATCAAATAAGTGTATATTTCCCAGCTTCCCAATTCCACTTTCCCTTGTTTGTTTTGAAACAAGGTCTTATAAAACTTGATAAATAAAAATTCAAGGTAAAAACAGGAAAAAGGGCAGATAAAATATGTGTATATAAACACATTTTCAATTAATCAAAATTTTACTGTAACTGAATTTTTCAGATGATAGGGATTTTAGGAGAAAGAGGCAAAGAAAGTAAGGAAATAACAGAAGAAAAGGAAAATAAGAGAAACAGAGGGAGAAAAGGAGTAAAGAGGACAGGGACACACGAATGAAGGCAGCATCCTACAGAGAATGATCAAAACAGCTAGAGGTGAGAGGGGTGAGTTTAACACACAGTAAGGTCTTGATAAATGTATGTTGAAAAAATTACAACTTGCAGTTCATTTAGGCAGAGGCTTTCAAAGCAAACAAGCACACACTATAATCTCTCTTTCAAATGACTATTTTAATTAGGCATGGTTTATAGTTCTTCGAATGCCCTTATCCTTAAGCCTCTAGGGAAGAAATTATTCTCTGGGCTAGGGTGGTTATAGCCAGATGGTATCAAGTTAAAAGCCATGACCGAAGACTGTAATTTTTCCCCCCTATTATATTTTACATCTGTATCTGTAAGCACTAGACCAATAGAACTGATAGTGATGAGGCATTACGTGATTTGAATAAAAAAGTTTAAAATGTGCTTACCATGAGATATTAAGGGGAAAATTTTGACTAATCCTTTTAAGAAAGATTTTTAATAAGAGCTGAAATCAAGGGAGTCCTTTGCTTAGCTCACAAAAGAATAAGGAAATAAATAAGCACAAATATTTTATTTCCCAAGCATTTTGAGGATTTTCTGTGGCCTTCCTTCATTTGAAAATGCTTCTAGCCACAAAACAGGAGGGGAAAAAAAGTGAGACTATCACTGTTGATGTTGTTCTGTGCCGTCAAGTCAATTCCAACTCATAGTGACCCTATAGGACAAAGTAGAACTGCCCCATAGGACTTCCAAGGAGCAGCTGGTGGATTCAAACTGCCGATCTTTTGGTTAGCAGCCAAGCTCTTAACTACTGTGCCACCAGAGTATCATTAATAATTTTAAATTCACACCTCTCAGTCTTAAATAGGCCCCCTCTTTCCTAAGCTCCTACAGCATTTTGCTCTCTTTAAACAACATTTATCACACTTATTCAATGTCTGCCTTCTTCATAAGACTGTAAGTATTGTGAGGCAGTGGTCAGGTTGATCTTGTTAAAGCAGTGTAGCATACAGGGTTCAGAGTTGGCTCTGCAGACTCACTAGCTGTGTGATGTTGGGCAAGTACCTTAACCCCTCTGTGCCTAAGTCTACTCATCTAAAAACAGAGCTAAGAAGACTATCAACCTCAGAGGGTTAATGTAAAGAGTAAATGAGTTAATATGGTTCATGCCTATCTCATAACACATACCCAGTATAAACATTTGTTGAATAGTTCAGCGATTCTGCCATTTCTTTTGGGGAGGCGGGAGACTGCCTGTTACATAAGACAAACTGAAACTGCATGTCAGCAAACATGTTCCAAGAATACAGTTCAGAATCATCCCTTGTCCCAAAGTAACTATCACACTGCTTCCCTCAAACGTTTTCTCTTTAAAAAAAAACTATGAGGTTACAGAATTCAGGAAGGTAGAATGATAGGCTGAACACGGCCCAGGCTGAGGGTCTGGAAAGATGAAAACACAATGTTCAGAAAAACTGGAGGGAAAAACAATTTCATAATGGATATTAGGTTAATTAAATTTTAGACTAGACTTGAAATATAATAGACAAAACCTTCTTATTTTTTCCCCAGCTGTTTCACTTGGACATCTTAAAACTAGCTATAATTAAGCTTTTCTCATAAAAGTCTTCGGAGGGTTAACATCACTTTCATTTTAAAAATGAGAAACAGAAGCATAAGGAAACTAGATCACAAGGGTCTGAACTTCTCAAGTGAGGCTGAATAGCTATGCAGTGCTGAAGAGCTTGGGGCTTTGATGTCAGATTCCAATGATACCACTAAATTTTCTGACGTGTAAAATGGGGAAAAGAATAGTACCAATCTCCTATAGTGGTTACGAAGATTAAACGAGGTAAAACATGTAAAGTGCTTGGCACTGAGGAAGCGTTCAATAAATAACAGCCATTATTATCATCACAACTTTAAGATCCTTACTGACATACTTTATGGGAATAAACTTTTTATTAAGTGAATTGCCCTCTGGGACCTACACACCATAAAGAAAATACCAAGACTAACAATCTGCCTGGGGAGTCTATCTTTGGAGAAGAAACAGGACATATTTGGGGCTGTAAGTCTGAGTTCCAAACTTTCTTGGGCCATTTTTCATACAACTTTTTGCCCCTATGTTTGAGTTTACTGTATAACTACTGTATTTTCTGAATAGTATCCCAAATAGAGTCTTTCAGCTTAAAGGCCCTAGGTATTGTTAACTTTTTTATAATTCATTTTCCTCATTAAATAGTATCTTAATAATTTAAACTTTAAAGTTTTAAAAGTACATTCACATAAATTTTCTCATTTGATACTCACAAAACCCTGGGAGATCAATAGGGCAGGTAAGATCACATGAACATATAGGTAAGGAACTGACTGTCTAGAGGTTGAGAGACTTGCCCAAGGTCACACAGGTAATAAGTGATGGTGTTGAGATCAGAACCCACATCTTTTACACTATACTACCTGGATAACAAGGTTGGACAGGACAAGGATGTCACAACTGGATAACAAGGTTGGTATAATTTTCAGTCTGATACTTTAGGACAAACACGTTACTGGTTGTACCTTGAAGGTGTGCCAGGCCAATTGCTTGACGCTGAAGTTTCTTTACTCGTCCCAGAGTACAGACAAAGATTCAAAAAGAATGAACAAATGTGTGTCTGTAGAGAATTGACACACACCTCCTACTTCCTGACCGTAACCTTGATCTTCTCTCTTTCCACCTTTAATGACTAAAAGAAGAGTCCTTATTAGGTATATTATCTTGACAATTGTAATCCCTTTGATAATACAAACCCAAACAAATAGTCTATCTGTAACAAGAACATGTAATAGGGCACATGATGAGCACAACCTAAAATCAACAGTTTTGAGTTATAACAAACAATAAAATAAAATGTAAAGGAAAAACTGTTAGACCAACATAAGCCAAACATTCAACAATGTGATTTATTCCATGAGGATCTTTAACTCCCTCCTCCTCTTCCTCTTTCAACAAGAATTTTTCCAAAACTACTATTATTAGATACTAAGCAATGATAGTAAGCAGCAAACAATATTTGCTTTCAAAAGCTCTCATGGTCTGATAAAGTTGGGAGTAACAGATGAGTCAACTGATAATTATAATAAACATCACAATCGAGGTATGCATAGGATATTAGGCAGACAAAGAGGAGAGGTGCTCATTTGTTTGTCATTACAACAGTTTTCAGGAAAGTGCTTTTCCATGTCTTCTTAAAAAATTGATTTTGAATCCCATCTTTATCAACATCTGTTTTTCCTTCAAAAGTAACTAGACAGTCAGTGACCTTTAACTGTCGTTTACAGTGTAAAATTTACAATATCAGGTGGAATCAGCTTTTACAGACTTGGTCTTCTGGTCTGAGTTAATTTATTACCATTCGTGGTTCAACTCCGATTAATTATTGAAGAAGTTACAAAGTTCTTCCCAATCTGGTCAGCGGTAACAACTGAAATAAACAGATCAGTCACATGATTCTGCTTATTTTCAGAAATTCCCCCAGAAGGATTTATTCTATTGACAGGGCTCTTAATTATTATATTTCTTTGCAATCCACCTGCATTATTTCATTACAAAGTGAATGCACTGGCTTTAAGAAAAACTAGCCTTCCTCTAGGTTTGGTCATATTTACCTTCCTAGGACTAATTCTCTCAAAAGACATAAAGTGGCAGAGTTTGGGCTTTTATATTTCACTGCTTCTCTCAGAATTACCGCTGTGGAGCTACCTTTTCCAAAAGGTCTTGATTTAAACTTTCTTTGCTTACTGTCTCTTTCCTTCAGTAAAGTACTAATGTTAGAAAGGCCTTACTTTTGGTATTTATTTTGGAGGTAGGGGAAATGGTTTGGAAAATCAGATAGCCCAGGTTTGAAATCTAAGCTAGGTGTGATTTTACCACTCTGAGCCTCAGTTTGCTTTCTGTAAAATGATGGATAATGACATTTTCCTAGAGAAGCTATTGAAGGATAACAACTAATGTTCGTAAAGCATTTAGGCTGTTTTTGGCACATGGCAAGTTCTCAATAAATTCTAGTGATAGCTTCCCGAACAGTGTCAGATCTCTATGGTTTACATCAAAAAAAAAGGTGCCACAGACTATCTAGTGCTGCTATAACAGAAACACCACACGTGGATGGCTTTAACAAAGAGAAATTCATTCTCTCACAGTCTTGAAGTCTAGAAGTCTGAATTGAGGGCACCAGCTTCAGGGGAAGCCTTTCTCCCTCTGTCGGCCCTGCAGGAAGGTCCTTGTCATCAATCTTCCCTGGTCGAGGAGCTTCTCAGCACAGGGATCCCAAGTCCAAAGGACATGCTATTCTCCTTGCTCTCGTTTCTTGGTGGTATGAGGTCCCCAAGTCTCTCTGCTTGCTTCTCTCTTTTATATCTCAAAAGAGGTTGACTTAAGACACAACCTAATCTTGTAGATTGAGTCCTGCCTCATTAACATAACTGCCTATAATCCTGCCTCATTAACATCATACAGGTAGGATTTACAACACATAGGAAAATCACATCACATGACAAAGTGGTGGACAATCACACCAGACTGGGAATCATGGACTAGTCAAGTTGACACACATTTTTGGGGGACACTCAATCCATGGCATTCCACCCTTTAGCCCCCAAAAATTCATGTCCTTGCCACATGTAAAACACACTCACCCCATCATATCATAGCAAAAGTCTTAAATCAATTCCAAGTCCAAAATCCAAGACATTCCTCTTCATCTGTGAAATCCAGAATACAAGTTATCTATCTGCTTCCAAAGTACAATGGTGGAACAGGCACAAGGTAGACATTTCCATTACAAATGGGAGAAATTGGAGGGAGAGAAGGGATAACAGGTACCAAGCAAGTCAGCAAAACATATTACATTAGCTCTCAAGGCTTGAAAATAATCCTCTGTTCCCTGAGGCCATTTAGGCAATAGCCCTACTCTCCAGACTCTGGGTTTTGGCCATATTCTCAGGATTCTGGGTGGAGGTCCCTCAGCCCTGGGCTTCAGCTCTGCCTTCCAGGCCCACTGGAACGGCAACTCTGCTACCTTGGCTTTGGGTGGCTCCATTCTCCCAGTCCAGCTGAGTGGAGACCCTACCCCCTCAGCCTAAGGGGCCAGTTATTCTCCCCTTTGAGCATGGCAGTCCAGCCCCCTCAGCCTTGGGCAGTGGGTCTGGCCCCACCCTGCTGGCACTCATGAATGACAGCCCCACACTCTGGAATGGAGTTGGTGAAGATCTGACTCTTTGAAACCCAGGAGGCTAATTGCCCCACTCTTTGAAGCCTGAGAGGCCACGGCTCCACCCTTTGGCACCCCAGAGGTCGTGGCCTTACCCTTTTAGAGAAAGAGGCAGCTCTGCTTCCTGCGTTCCTTGTCTCTTCAGCTTCTGCTTCCTCTTTCCTTGGCCTCTTGGGCCTCTCCACTTGCGTCGATCCTGCTGGGGCAAGTGTTCCAAAGCTCTGTAGCTCCACCGATAAGTGTCTGTAGGCACCTTATTCTGCCAGTAAACTTCAGCCAGAAGGCACTCAGCTCTCTTGCTCTGTGGATTGGCAAGCCTAGCTTCACCGATAAGTGCCTGGAGGCACCCTACTCCACCAGGAAGCCTCCCGCCCAAAGGCTCTCAGCTCTCTCACTCCGTGGGTTGGCTCCAGTGCTGTCTTGTGCTGGTCTCCTGGTTCTGCTGCTGCTTCTCGCTCTCTGAGTCATCTTCAGTGAAAACAGCTCTCCTCAATTCCTTCTGAGTCCTCAACAGAATTGTCTTTGAAGTCTATAATTCCACCAACAGTCTCTTCAAGGCAATTTAGGCTTTTACTATTAGGTACTTTAAAACTCTTCTAGCCTCTAGTCATTCACAGTTTCAAAACCACTTCCACATTTTAGGTATCTGTTAGAGCAGCACCCTACTCTCAGTACCAAATTCTGTCTTAGTTATCTAGTGCTGCTATAACAGAAAATACCACAAGTGGATGGCTTTAACAAACAGAAGTTTCTTCTCTCACAGTCTAGGAGGCTAGAAGTCCGAATTCAGGGCGCCAGCTTCAGGGGAAGGCTTTCTCCCTCTGTCGGCCTTGGAGGAAGGTCCTTGTCATCAATCTTCCCTGGTTGAGGAGCTTCTTAGCAGAGGGACCTCTAGTCCAAAGGATGCACTGTTCTCCTGGCTCTTGTTTCTTGGTAGTATGAGGTCCCCCTGTCTCTCTACTTGCTTCTCTCTTTTATATCTCAGCAGAGACTGACTTAAGACATAACCTAATCTTGTAGATTGAGTCCTGCCTCATTAATATAACTGCCTCTAATCCTACCTCATTAACATCATAGAGGTATGATTTACAACACATAGGAAAATCACATCACATTACAAAATGGTGGACAATCACACAATACTGGGAATCATGGACTAGCCAAGTTGACACACATTTTTACAAGACACAATTCAATCCATAACACAGACCAAGCAAAATTTTGTCTGTATGTGTATTTTTCCAGGGAGAGGATACATAGTTTTCACTGGATTCTTAAGAGATTTCTGTCTAAAAAAAAGTTAAGTATAAACCAAGAAAAAGCATGTAGAAGTGAAAATTGGTCTGCGACCATGAAAAATAACTAAATGAACATTAAGTACAAAGATCATGTTTACTACCACAGAACTTCTCCAAATAAACTTCTCAATGCAATTTCACCAAACTTCTAACATTCTCCTCATGGTCCTTTAGCCTCCCATGGGGAAGTCAGGGTACAGGAAAGGAATCTCACCCACTTTCTCATTTAGGAAAAGACAGCTATCAAAGAGGCAGTACTGCACAATTTTTACCTGTTCAAGTTTTAAAATCCAGGTTTAAAATATAGCTCCATTACTTATAAACTGTGTGACTTTAAGTATCTTAACCTCTTTGAGTATCAGCTTCTCCAATTACAAAGTGAGGATAAGAACAGTACGTACCACATTTTGGTTGTGAGGATTCAACAAGAATGCATATGAAATGTTTAGCGCAGAGCCTAGCTTATTTAGTGCTTACATTTTTTTTAACCATTATTCTCATCAACTCCTCATTGTTATGCTCCTAATTTGGAAGGACAACTCTCTAAGATGCCTAGTAGGAAAAGTTAAGTGATGAAGATTTCTATAAATCTTTTGATGCTACTGGGAAGGAACTAATGCACAGATCCCTGGGTGAGGGAAATGGGGCTTATACTGGATGGGAGGACAAGTAATCACAATAGGTGACTCCTACGTTCTTCGTGTGAAGCACTGGTGGTATAGTGGTTAAGAGCTTGGCTGTTGACCAAAAGGTCAGCAGTTCGAATCCACCAGCTGCTCCTTGGAAACCCTATGGGTCAGTTCTACTTTGTCCTATAGGGTCACTATAAGCCAGAATTGACTCGACAACAACGGGTTTGGTTTGGTTTACGTTCTTTGTGGGGTCCTGGAAAAGCCCACCTAGCCCTCTAAATCTCTTGCACTACGTCATCCTTAGAAATAATTCATTTGGGGACTGAAGCCTTTTGGATCACCAAGAGCCCCTGGGAGGGAACCAGTACTCCTCAGAGGTCGATTACCTCTCTTTATTGGACCCTCACTTCCCCAGGGAATTAGCCAATAAAGACTCAAGGTGACAGCCCTCTCAGGGGTATTAGTTCCTACACAGGGCAACAAGATGGAGCCACTTACGGTTCCTGCCTTCAAGATTGGGAAAGCCCTGGTAGAGTAGGGGAATCAAGAGCTCCTTGTAAAGCCCAGAAGGAAAGAGGTCCTTAGGAAAAAAGTGCAGAGGGCTCGATTGGGATAGAAAGTGAAGCTGCAAAGAGAGGTTGGAAGGATGCCAAAGAGAGACAGCCTTCTTTCCTTCCGCAAATATGACCCATTCTTCCATAGGGTTGCTACAAGTGAGAGTGGACTTGACCACACACAAGGACAACAATGCGCTGGGAGCTGGGGGTGACATCTCACAGGTTGGTCCTTGCTTCTTGATAAGAAATTAGTCAGAGTATCAGAGTGGGGTGGGGGGTGGGGGTGGTTCTTTCCAGTTCCATAGGAGCGGGCTTCACACATGGGGGTGTGAGAGACGGCTGGATGGAGGCGATGGCCTTGGAGAGATGGGACGGGCAAGAAAGGGGAGTCGGGCAAGGGGTGAAGGAGTACAGGTCCGGCTCCACCACTGGCTATGAGCTACTTAACGCATTTCCTCACTGTGTGGATGACATGAGATAATGAACATAAAGCACTGGCACAGTGCCTGGCATATGGCAACCGCCGGATAAGGTGAATTCCTGCCACTATTATGAGTATTGGAAAAGCCTCCTGCTTACCACTGGCTCGTCCACCGTGTGCCAGGCACCGGGCAGTGCGCTTGCATCCTATCATCCCAAAGTCCTGACAACCCGTTTGCGAAATGGGTTTGATTATTCTCATTTTACTAGTGAGGAAACCGCGGCTTTGAGGAACGGTCGCACAGCTTAAACCGGGTTTCTCCGACCACAGAGCTCACGCCCCAGGCTGGGGTTCGTTCCCGAGGGGAGGGTTAACGGGCGGCGGGCGACCCCCAGGGCGCTCGGCGACCCGACCCGGGCCTCGCCAGGGGCGTGGTGCTCACCTTTGAAAGAGTCGGGGAGTCGACGAGCTTGGTTGTCCGGTGCGTGCCGCTTCTCAGCCATGCTGTTCGAGCCGGAGGCGCCGCTCTCCCTCCTCTGTTGCCGAAGCCGGAGTAGCTGAGAAAGTCTAGAGAACCAGCGGGGCAGGAGACCCAGGCTGCATGCGGCCCCGCCCCCTCGTGTAGCCCCGCCCCTCTCCGCAACTCAGCCAATGGACGCCCAGGATGCGGGAGGACGCGCCCCCCCTCGTCCGGCGCGCCCTTCCCGCGCGGTTGCTTTGCTGTCGCTTCCCGCTCGGTCCACGGGCGTGGCTTGAGGGGAGAGGCCCTTCCCTCCGGACAGGGTCGGGGCGTAGGGGCCGCACGCGCAGGAAAAGGTGGAGGGCTTAGGCGTGAGCTGAAGTTACCGGGGAGGAGGCTGTGGCGAAGGCTTGAGGTAAAAGTCAGAATGAGGATAAAGGTGCACTTATGGCTAGAGGTTTTACAGCCACGCACTTCCTGTGGGCGAGAAATTAGAAGGAAGAAAATGGCACCACCCTTTCTGGGCAGAGTGGGGTCCGAGTTGAG